TTAGGTCCACCCTTTAGCCTAGGGACTTCATTTAGGGTCACCATTAGAGCTCCCTTAAGGGTTAGAGTCACCATTAGACTTCTTTAGGGCCTTAGGGTTAGGGCCTCCATTATTAGGGTCACCAATTAGATCTCCCTTTAGTTCCCTTTAGGGTTTAGGATCTCCATTAGAGTTCCCTTTTTAGCCTCCATTAGGTTCCCTTTAGTAGGATCTCCATTAGAGTTCACCCCTTTAGGGTTAGACTTCTATTTATCTCCATTAGAGTTCCCTTTAGGGTTAGGATCTCCATTAGGTTAGGGTTCACCATTAGAGGGTTAGAGCTCCCTTTAGGGTTAGTATCTCCATTAGAGTTCCCTTTAGGTTAGGGTTCCCTTTAGGGTTAGGGTCACCATTAGAGCTCCCTTTAGGGTTAGAGTCACCATTAGACTTCTATTTAGGGTTAGGGCCTCCATTATAGTTCCCTTTAGGGGGATCTCCATTAGAGTTCCATTAGGGTTAGTATCTCCATTAGAGTTCCCTTTAGGGTTAGGTATCTCCATTAGAGTTCCCTTTAGGGTCACCATTAGAGTTCCCTTTAGGGTTAGTATCTCCACCATTAGAGTTCCATTAGAGCTTTAGAGGACTTCTATTTAGGGTCCTCCATTATAGTTCCCTTTTTAGGGATTCCATTAGTTCCCTTTAGGGTTCTCCATTAGAGTTCCCTTTAGGGTTAGGGTCACCATTAGAGTTCACCTTTAGGGTTAGCTCATTAGAGTTCCCTTTAGGGTTAGGGTCACCATTAGGTAGGGTTAGGGTCACCATTAGACTTCTATTTAGGGTTAGGGCCTCCATTATAGTTCCCTTTAGGGTCACGTCCACCATTAGGACTGGTTCCCATCTGACTGTGTTGTAGTTGTGTTTAGGTGCATCTTACGTGTGTTTTAGGTACGTTGTCATTGAACTCTTTATAGTTTGTATTTAGATGAAAGAGCATCAAAGATGCAACAAGCAGAATATTTTTACAGCACGGCTCCTGCCGGACACCAGAGCAGAAGCGGGTCACGTGTTCCAGCACCTGGCATGGAAGTAGACTGTCCTGTCGGTCAGAGGTATCTCTGTCTCACAGCACAAGTAGGGGGAGAGAGCAGTGCAAGAGCATGTGATCAGGTAAGTGATTGTCAATGCTGGGGGGGAGGGGGGTAAACCTCACTGCTACTAACCAGCAGCGGGGATCAGGTGGTAAAGAGCACTGCAAGCCTGATTCTCTGACACCAATGATGGGGTTATTATATATCGGGATGATGCCCGCAGTTGTAGGCATCACCCCGGGACTGTTTTTTAGGAACCGATGTCTCTCTTGTAATAGCAATCGGAGTGACTACGAGCCGTGGGAAGGACCACCTCCCGCTACCTTCCGTGGCTTTAACGGGATCTCCCGTCCCATCGGGAGCCCCAGTCAGATCATGACCAAATCAACTTTGTTCGGCTCTAAGATATTGTAACCAGGGGCGGACTGACAACTCGTGGGGCCCCCTGGGCAATAGGGGATCATGGGGCCCCTGTGTCCTTGCCCACACTCAAAACACACCCAAAAAAGCCTATGAAAGGTACCAGGGGCATCTCATGGGGCCCCCTACTGACCCCGGGCCCTCCGGCAGTGCCCGAGTGTCCGAATGGTCAGTCCGCCGCGGATTGTATCCCAAAATCAATGACCTGATATCACTTCCGGTTTCCATTTTTAAAAAAGATAAATATTTGATGGCGCTGATCTTGGTGTTTTGAATGTTTTAAAGGGCAGTGGAGAGATTTGGGGTCACCGACCCCCACATCCCTCCATAAAGAGTACCTGCCACAGCCTATTGATGTCACAGGGGCAGGGGCGGACTGACAACTCATTGGGCCCCCAGGCAATAGGGGATCATGGGGCCCCTGTGTCCTTGCCCAAACTCAAAAAGCCTATGAAAAAGGTACCAGGGGCATCTCATGGGGCCCCCTACTAACCCCGGGCCCTCGGGCAGTGCCCGAGTTTCCAAATGGTCAGTCCGCCCCTGCACAGGCGATGTTTACCCCCCCCCGTGCTTGCGTGCAAAGGCGAATGTAGGCGTCGGTCCCTCACGCACGCAAGCAGCGATTGTCCCACACATGTAATGTGTCACGGTGAACGTCAGATCATGTAATTCCAGCACCAGACCTCTAACATGGTAACCTGCAAAGGTTTTTAAAGCGTCGCCCACGGATAGTAAAATTTACGTCGTTTGACATTGTTGCGCAATTTTAAAGTGTGACGTGTTTGGGATCTATTTACTCGCCGTAACACCATATTTTATATTTAAAAACAATGGCTTATGTATTGTGGGGGTTTTTTTGCATTAAAATGTAAAAAAGTGTATTTCTTCCCCAAAAATTGCATTAAGAAAAAAATGCGCAAATACCGCGCGACGTAAAAAATTGTAACATCAGCCAATTTGTTCTCTAGGGCTTCGGCTTTAAAAAAAAAACATGTTTGGGATACTAAGACATTTTTTAGCAAAAAATACTGATTGTTACATGTGAGAAGTGTCAGAAAAGGTCGGGTCTTCAGCAAGTGAGTTCCTCTATATCATGTGATTCAGGTGTTCCAATCCACTCCTTATAATGTGATTCAGATGTTCCAATCCCTTCCATATCATGTGATTCCGGTACGCCAATCCCCTCCATATCATGTGATTCAGGTGTTCCAATCCCCTCCATATCATGTGATTCAGGTGTTCCAATCACCCCAATCATGTGATTCAGGTGTTCCAATCCCCTCCCAATCATGTGATTCAGGTGTTCCAATCCCCTCCACATCATGTGATTCAGGTGTTCCAATCCCCTCCATATCATGTGATTCAGGTGTTCCAATCCCCTCCATATCATGTGATTCAGGTGTTCCAATCCCCTCCATATCATGTGATTCAGGTGTTCCAATCCCTTCCAATCATGTGATTCAGGTGTTCCAATCCCCTCCATATCATGTGATTCAGGTGTTCCAATCCCCTCCCAATCATGTGATTCAGGTGTTCCAATCCCCTCCATGGACACAGGTGTATACAATCAAGCCCCTAGGCATGCAGACTGCTTCTACAAACATTGGTGAAAGAATGGGTCGCTCTCAGGAGCTCAGTGACTCCAAGCGTGGTCCCGTGATAGGGGCCACCTGGGCAATAAGTCCATCCGTGACATTTCCTGGCTACTAAATATTCCACGCTCAACTGTTAGTGGGATTATAACAAAGTGGAAGCGACTGGGAACAACAGCCACTCAGCCACCAAGTGGTAGGCCACGTCACATGACAGGGCGGGGTCAGCGCATGCTGAAGCGCACAGTGCGCAGAAGTCGCCAACTGTCTGCAGAGTCAATAGCTAAAGACCTCCAAACTTGGTGTGGCCTTCAGATGAGCCCAACAACAGTGCGTAGAGAGCTTCATGGAATGGGTTTCCATGGCCGAGCAGCTGCATCCAAACCTTCCATCACCAAGTGCAATGCAAAGCGTCGGATGCCGTGGTGTAAAGTACGCAGCCACTGGACTCTAGAGCAGCTGCATCCAAGCCTTTCATCACCAAGTGCAATGCAAAGCGTCAGATGCCGTGGTGTAAAGCACGCCACTGTTATGGTGATGAGCTCATCTGTGTCACTCTGCTCTCTACTCCTATCAGCATGCTCCATGTCAGCACATGAACTGATTCGCTACTTGTGCTGCTTCTTCCTCTCACGCACCAGCTCTGATGTACAGGGATTGCAAAAGGCTTACACCAGAACAAATTCAGCATAATTCAACCCACTTTCTCTGAGCCCAGGTCGTCCTTGATCCGCCCCCATCCTGTGAAAGGAGAAGTGGCATGGTGATAAGCTTGTCTCTATGTCACTCTGCTTTCTCGTCCTATCAGCATGCTCCTTGTCAGCACATGAACTGATTCGCTACTTGTGCTGCTTCTTCCTCTCACGCACCAGATCTGATGTACAGGGATTGGAAAAGGCTAACACCAGAACAAATGTAGCATCATTCAACCCACTTTCTGTGGTCATCCCGGACGAGTCTCCAGCCTGTGACTGAACAGTGAAAGGAGAAGTAGCACAGTGATGAGCTCATCTCTCTGTCACTCTGCTCTCTCCTCCTATCAGCCAGCTTCTTTTGATCGCATGAACGAAATGGCTGCTTGTGCTGCTTCTTCTTCTCATGCTCCAGCTCTGCTGTACAGGGACAGCAACAGGATGATACCGGGTCCGAATTCCGGGACTTATATTTACAATATGTCTTTAATGATTGCAGAACTGGATTATATTTGTAGATCTGCCTGGAGTTCAGCGACTTTTGTTCTTTATCAATCAGGACCATAAAAATGTTATAAATAGTTGGAAGAAAGTTTTTTTTTTGTTGTTTTGAAGAGCGCGTCCCTCATTCCTCCTTTTATCGCGGGTTGTCTTGCCTGGGGCTCCGGCGACCTGCTGCCTTCCCTTTGATGCCTGCATAGCCGTGTCGCAGCAAAGAATTTCATTTTAAAGTGGCAATAACCTGGAAGACGAGCGATTCTCAGCCCTCCGACAGACCAATTACCTCCCTGTCAACTGATCCGCAGCAAAGCCGCCACCCCCGACCGCCGGGAGAACCGTCTCTTCGCCTTAATCACCCCCCAACCTTTCTTCCTTCCCCGCGAGGACGCGAGCCGAAGACAAACAAACATGGCGTGACACTCGCGAACACTTCCACCGCCGTTCGTGTCTGAGACCGCTGCAACAACAAAAGCACTCAGAGTCACAGCGTGTGACCGCGTCTATTGTCTGCCGCGTATTGTCCTCGCCGCCAAGTTCGAGTTTCTGCCATCGGAGCGCGGAGGGATTAAAGGGGAACGCCGCCATCGAAGGTTCAGCTCCCGTGTGGCTTTTAACCGTTTTAGGGTAAGTATGAATTGTTATTGGAAAGTAGATGGAATCCAATCACCGAAACATCAGCTTTAATCATGTGAAATCCTCCCTCCAGCCTCCCAGGCTCCTCCCCTTCAGTCTTGCACAGTTGTACAGGCTCCTCCCCTTCAGTCTTGCACAGTTGTACCGGCTCCTCCCCTTCAGTCTTGCACAGTTGTACAGGCTCCTCCCCTTCAGTCTTGCACAGGTGTACCGGCTCCTCCCCTTCAGTCTTGCACAGGTGTACCGGCTCCTCCCCTTCAGTCTGGCGCAGGTGTACCGGCTCCTCCCCTTCAGTCTTGCACAGGTGTACCGGCTCCTCCCCTTCAGTCTTGCACAGGTGTACCGGCTCCTCCCCTTCAGTCTTGCGCAGGTGTAGCGGCTCCTCCCCTTCAGTCTTGCGCAGGTGTAGCAGCTCCTCCCCTTCAGTCTTGCACAGGTGTAGCGGCTCCTCCCCTTCAGTCTTGCACAGGTGTAGCGGCTCCTCCCCTTTAGTCTTACAGAGGTGTACCAGCTCCTCCCCTTCAGTCTTGCACAGGTGTACCGGCTCCTCCCCTTCAGTCTTAGACCGGTGTGCTGACTCCTCTCCTTCAGTTTTATACAGGTGTAGCGGCTCCTCCCCTTCAGTCCTGCACAGGTGTACCGGCTCCTCCCCATCAGTCTTGCACAGGTTTACCGGCTCCTCCCCTTCAGTCTTACACAGGTGTGCTGGCTCCTCCCCTTCAGTTTTATACAGGTGTAGCGGCTCCTCCCCTTCAGTCTTGCACAGGTGTACTGGCTCCTTTCCTTCAGTTTTACACAGGTGTAGCGGCTCCTCCCCTTCAGTCTTGCGCAGGTGTACTGGCTCCTCCCCTTCCATCTTGCACAGGGGTTCCTGCTCCTCCCCTTCAGTCTTGCACAGTTGTACAGGCTCCTCCCCTTAAGTCTTGCACAGTTGTTCTGGCTCCTCCCCTTCAGTCATGCACAGGTGTAGCAGCTCCTCCCCTTCAGTCTTGCACAGGTGTACCAGCTCCTCCCCTTCAGTCTTGCACAGGTGTACCGGCTCCTCCCCTTCAGTCTTGCACAGGTGTACCGGCCCCTCCCCTTCAGTCTTGCACAGGTGTATCGGCTCCTCCCCTTCAGTCTTGCACAGGTGTACCGGCCCCTCCCCTTCAGTCTTGCACAGGTATATCGGCTCCTCCCCTTCAGTCTTGCACAGGTGTACCGGCTCCTCCCTTGGACTGGAATGGCTTCCTCTGATGTCACACTGGGAGTGAGGTGACAGGTATGCTGGACAGGTGATGAAGGCTCAGCCTCATCCCTCCTAAATGCAGCACGTTACAGCGAGGCATGTAGTGACACAGGACAACCCAATGGCGGCTCATCTCCGAGTCAGGGGCCTGCCTTAAGGTTGATTAATCTGAGCGTAGCCTCTGCCTTGTCCCCGGGCTTCGATGAGCGTGCCCAATGGAAAAGGTACCCCATGTGCAGGCGAGTGACTCCGCCACTGCCGGTGCAGCCCAAGAACCTGGTGGGCTTACAATCCCGTACCTGGCAATGACGACCACCTCTCAGCTGCCAGCCCACAGCCTGTTAGATTTTTCCTGATCGATTGGCAGCCTGAGCTATAGCTGGCAGCATTGATCATTGTATTCTGATGGCAGCAAAGTCTCCCTGCTGTTAGCATACAATACCTCGGTGGGAAGGATTCCCTCATCCACATCAAGTGTGTGGATGAAGGAATCATGCTATTTTCTTTTCATTCAGCCCACTAGTTGAACAGAAAAATGAAGCATGCATGGCTGCTTTAAGTGTTTGTCCAACCGAAAACATGCTTAAAGTGTATGTCCAACCAAACGATGCTTAAAGTGTATGTCCAACCAAACGATGCTTAAAGTGTATGTCCAACCAAAGCCATCCTTATAGTGTATGTCCAACCAATCTATGGTTAAAGTGTATGTCCAACCAAACGATGGTTAAAGTGTATGTCCAACCAAACGATGGTTAAAGTGTATGTCCAACCAAACGATGGTTAAAGTGTATGTCCAACCAAACGATGGTTAAAGTGTATGTCCAACTAAAGCCATGCCTAAAGTGTATGTCCAACCAAACGATGGTTAAAGTGTTTGTCCAACCAAACGATGGTTAAAGTGTATGTCCAACCAAAGCCATCCTTATAGTGTATGTCCAACCAAAGCCATCCTTATAGTGTATGTCCAACCAAAGCCATCCTTATAGTGTATGTCCAACCAAAGAAATGCTTCAAGCGTATGTCCAACCAATCTATGGTTAAAGTGTATGTCCAACCAGTGCATGTTTAAAGTGAAAGTCCAACCAAAGCTATGGTTAAAGTGGTTAGAACACGGTTAATAGAAATGGTAAAAAAGGAGGTTACCTAAAATGTATGTCCAATCAAGCCATAGTTAAAGTGTATATCCAACCTAAGCCATAGTTAAAGTTATGTCCAGCTAAAGCCATGGTCAAAGTGGTTAGAGCATGGTTAATAAAAAATGGTTAAAAAAAGGTTGAAAGGTGGCTTAAAGTGTACATCCAACCAAAGCGGTAGATAAAGCATACACTATATTGCCCCAAGTATTGGGCCGCCTGCCTTTCCACACACATGACCTTTAATGGCCCCGCAGTCTTAGTCCGTAGGGTTCAATATTGAGTTGGCCCCGCCCTTTCCACGCACATGACCTTTAATGGCCCCGCAGTCTTAGTCCGTAGGGTTCAATATTGAGTTGGCCCCGCCCTTTGCACCTATAACAGCTTCAACTCTTCTGGGAAGGCCGTCCACAAGGTTTAGGAGGGTGTCTATGGGAAGGTTGGACCATTCTTCCAGAAGCACATTTGTCAGGTCAGGCACTGATGTCGGGGGAGGAGGCCTGGCTCGCAGTCTCCGCTCTAATTCATCCCAAAGGTGTTCTATGGGGTTGAGGTCAGGACTCTGCGCAGGACAGTCAAGTTCCTCCACCCCAAACTGGCTCCTCCATGTCTTTATGGACCTTGCTTTGTATATATATATATATACATATATATACAGTGGGGCAAAAAAGTATTTAGTCCCCACCAATTGTACAAGTTCTCCCACTTACAAAGATGAGAGGCCTATAATTGGCATCATAGGTAGACCTCAACTATGAGAGACAAAATGAGAAAACAAATCCAGACAATCACATTGGCTGATCTGGAAAGAATTTATTTGCAAATTATGGTGGAAAATAAGTATTTGGTCACCTACAAACAACAAGATTTTTGGCTCTCACAGACCTGTACCTTCTTCTTTAAGAGGCTCCTCTGTCCTGCACTCATTACCTGTATCAATGGCACCTGTTTGAACTTGTTATCAGTATAAAAGACACCTGTCTACAACCTCAAACAGTTACACTCCAAACTCCACTATGGTGAAGACCAAAGAGCTGTCGAAGGACACCAGAAACAAAATTGTAGACCTGCACCAGGCTGGGAAGACTGAATCTGCAATAGGCAAGCAGTTCGGTGTGAACAAATCAACTGTGGGAGCAATAATTAGAAAATGGAAGACATACAAGACCACTGATAATCTCCCTCCATCTGGGGCTCCACGCAAGATCTCACCCCGTGGGGTCAAAATGATCACAAGAACGGTGAGCAAAAATCCCAGGACCACACGGGGGGACCTAGTGAATGACCGGTAGAGAGCTGGGACCAACGTAACAAAGGCTACCATCAGTAACACACTACGCTGCCAGGGACTCAGATCCTGCAGTGCCAGACGTGTCCCCTGCTTCAGCCAGTACATGTCCGGGGCCCATCTGAAGTTTGCTAGAGAGCATTTGGATGATCCAGAAGAGGATTGGGAGAATGTCATATGGTCAGATGAAACCAAAATAGAACTGTTTGGTAGAAACACAACTCATCGTGTTTGGAGGAGAGAGAATGCTGAGTTGCATCCAAAGAACACCATACCTACTGTGAAGCATGGGGGTGGCAACATCATGCTTTGGGGCTGTTTCTCCACAAAGGGAACAAGACGACTGATCCATGTACAGGACAGAATGAATGGGGCCATGTATCGTGAGATTTTGAGTGCAAACCTCCTTCCATCAGTAAGGGCATTGAAGATGAAACGTTGCTGGGTCTTCCAACATGACAATGATCCCAAACATACCGCCCGGGCAACGAAGGAGTGGCTTCGTAAGAAGCATTTCAGGGTCCTGGAGTGGCCTAGCCAGTCTTCAGATCTCAACCCCATAGAAAACCTTTGGAGGGAGTTGAAAGTCCGTGTTGCCCAGCGACAGCCCCAAAACATCACCGCTCTAGAGGAGATCTGCATGGAGGAGGAGATCTGCATGGAGGATGGGCCAACATACCAGCAACAGTGTGTGCCAACCTTGTGCGGACTTCCAGGAAACGTCTGACATCTGTCATTGCCAACAAAGGATACATAACAAAGTATTGACATGAACTTTTCATATTCACCAAATACTTATTTTCCACCATAATTTGCAAATAAATTCTTTCCAGATCAGCCAATGAGATTGTCTGGATTTGTTTTCTCATTTTGTCTCTCATAGTTGAGGTCTCCCTATGATGCCAATTACAGGCCTCTCTCATCTCTGTAAGTGGGAGAACTTGTACCATTGTGGGGACTACATACTTTTTTGCCCCACTGTATATAGTAGATATATATTGTAACCAGGGGCGGACTGACAACTCATGGGGCCCCCGAGCAATAAGGGATCATGGGGCCCCTGTGTCTTCGCCCACACTCAAAGCACACCCAAAAAGCCTATAAAAAAAAGATACCAGGGGCATTTCATGGGGCCCTACTGACCCTGGGCCCTCGGGCAGTGCCCAAGTGCTCGAATGGTCAGTCTGCCCCTGATTGTAACTGTAATGTCTGTCTTAATTTTGTAAAGCACTGTGCAAACTTTTGGAGCTATATAAATCCTGTATAATAATAATAATAATAATTATATATATGATTATTAAAATAAGATAAATAGATAGATAGATAATAGATAGATAGATAGATAGATAGATAGATAGATAGATAGATAATAGATACAGTTGTGGCAAAATTATTCAACCCCCACTGAAATTGAGTGTTTTGGCCAGTTTGACATTGCTTTTGATCATTCAGTCATCTTGCTTACATTTACATTAAAGAGGCACTTGTAGGTCAGACAAATATAACATAAACAGTTATAATGAAATAACCACAAATGTCTTTTCTGTGCTCACAGCATTATCAGTTTTTATTCAAACCCCCAAGTGACATTCAATCTTAGTACTTAGTACAGCATCCTTTTACAGTTATAACAGCTTTTAAACGTGAAGCATAGCTTGACACAAGTGTCTTGCAGCGATCTACGGGTATCTTCGCCCATTCTTCATGGGCAAAGGCCTCCAGTTCAGTCACATTCTTAGGCTTGCGCACTGCAACTGCTTTCTTTAAGTCCCACCAGAGGTTCTCAATCGGATTTAAGTCTGGTGACTGCGATGGCCACTCCAAAATGTTCCAGCCTTTCCTCTGCAACCATGCTCTAGTGGACTTGGAGGTATGCTTGGGATCATTGTCCTGTTGAAAGGTCCAACGTCTCCCAAGCCTCAGGTGTGTGACGGACTGCATCACGTTTCCATCCAATATCTCCTGGTACTGAAGAGAATTCATGGTACCTTGCACACGCTGAAGCTTCCCTGTACCTGCAGAAGCAAAACAGCCCCAAAGCATGATTGACCCTCCACCATGCTTCACAGTAGGCAAGGTGTTCTTTTCATCATAGGCCTTGTTCTTCCTCCTCCAAACATAGCGTTGATCCATGGGCCCAAACAGTTCTAATTTTGTTTCATCAGTCCACAGAACACTATCCCACAACTTTTGTGGTTTGTCCACATGGCTTTTGGCATACTGCAGTCGACTCTTCTTATTCTTTGGAGACAGCAAGGGGGTACGCCTGGGAGTTCTGGCACGGAGGCCTTCATTACGCAGTGTGCGTCTTATTGTCTGGGCTGAAACTTCTGTACCCACATCTGACAAATCTTTTCTCAGTTCCTCAGCAGTCACACGGGGACTTCTCTCCACTCTACGCTTCAGGTAGCGCACAGCAGTCGAAGTCAGCATCTTCTT